AGCTTCCAGAAATGTTTAGGTAAACATTGAAAAAGAAAGATTCCTAATTTAACTCTGAAGAATTTTGTAAGTTGATCAACTAGCATTTGTGGCAGTGATTTCTAATTACTTTAGTGATCAGTTTGCATCTGAAATATCTTGTACACTGTCCTGCCTAGAATACTCAGCAATGATTATTCTGACTATATATCATTTGTTGTGAGAGGTTCCAGTTAATTGAGATGTGCTTGGTTTTCCTAACATGGTTCTTAGCTGAGTGGTGTGCAGATTGCACAGCTTATTTGATGTTTAAAATCATATCACAAAAATGTTGATGAATAAACACCTCATTCTTAGGGGGCTTAATCATGTGCTGAATGCCCTTCACAGCCACTGACTACAACAGGAACAAACAAATTAAAGGCATATTTCTTATCCCAGTGCTTTACACCTACCAATTTATTTGTAACAATTATTTTACTTTTTTATTCCCCCCCTCCACAGGTCCCCTTTTTCCACATTAAAATGAATGTTTTGGGCACTGCAGTATAGGAAGGACATCGAGGTGCTGGAGAGGGTGCAGAGAAGGGCAACTGGGCTGATTAGGAGAGGCTGAGGGGGCTGGGGCTGTTTAGCCCGGTGAAAAGGAGGCTGAGGGGAGACCTCACTTCTCTCTATGACTATCCGAGAGGAGGTTGTAGTTGGCCTCTTGTCCCTAGTGACTAACAATAGGATGAGAGGAAATGGGGTCAAGTTGCACCAGGGGAGGTTCAGATTGGATATTAGGAAAAATGTATTTACAGAAATAGTGGTGAGGCATTCAAATAGGCTGGTGAAGGCAGCATCCCTAGAGGTGTTCATAAAATGGGTAGACGTGGTGCTTCAGGAGATGGCTGAGTGGTTGGAGATTGTAGGATGGATGGTTGGACTTTATGATCTTGAAGGTCTTTTAAAACCTTGATGATTCTATGATTCTATTATTATCAAATATGCAATTGTTGCAACGTTTAGATTTGGTATTTTACGGCCTACAACTTAAATAAAAAACTTGCTGAAAACACGTCACAGACAAATTGTCAATGGTCATAAAGAATGGTGTGCTATGCAATGAAAGAAACTATTATAAAAGCTGAAAGACCAACTGTTAAGTATACTATGGGAAAAATACTTTACAGTATTGATGAACTTATTTCACCTCCTTCTTCAAACTAGAATTTAATTTTATACTCCTCATATTATGTAACTTATTGAAACATATCTTAAAGCTTTGCACAGTCTGAATAGCTTAATGGATTATACTGGTCAATGAGAAATGAAAGTAAATAGGAAAGGGTTGACTTTCACTGCATTAAAGAAATGGCTGAACATCAATATCTGCCAGCAGAAAAAGAACATATTTATTGAAGAAAATTTTAAGTATTTAAAATATCTTCAGAATATGAATCAAGATTGTTTTAAAAGCCATTTTTCACCTATGATTACTGTGTAGAGTGAGATGCTCTACTATGGAAAGCAACTCAGCAGGGAACTCCCCTGCCAAGCCAATGAGCATCCTGAAACTTATGCTGTCATCAGCCAGAAGGATTAATCCTGATAAACTGTCCTAGCTGTGCCACTGAGAGGCTTTTTTGACAGTCAGATGAGGGGCTTAACAACTTACACCATCTGCATTGTTATTATAATGCTCTATGCCATTAAGGTGAAACTGTCATGTTTATTTCTGGAAGAGACATTTAAATCCTTCAATGCATTACTCAGTTCCCAGAGCTCTAAGAGACTGAGAGGAGGATGCTGTTGCTACAGATCATCAACACTGGGCTACAGATATGTCTCAGGAGACACCTGTATCAGGAAGAAGGAATTGGCCAGAACTTATTTGGAGAAAGGAATTAGAAGAAGGTCAATCCCTTTAAGACACTGGCAAGATTTGACCATCAGATCAGGAAACATCACCTGGGATATATCTGCCAATGGCTCTCATAAAATAAAATATATTAGACAAGGAAATCCTGCCAGATTTGCAGTTTCAGAGTGCCTGAAAACCTCAGCTATTCACACGCTGCTAACACTGGACAGACACAGCAAAACCAGACAGGTCTTGAATACAGTGACAGGGTGTGTGCCCAGTCAGAGTGAAGTCTCCCATGCCTCAAACTTTGTCCGCTGGTAGCAGGTCTTTGACATCACAGAGACCAGAGTCACTTACAAACTCAGCACTGAGAAGGGAGAAATGAGATTTCCAAGATGCAATGGCAGGAGCATTTCTCTAGTGTAAATTTCCCCTTCCAGGACAGGAAAGACATGTGGAAGGAGCCTGTGAATGGAAGGATGCCTACCAAGCATCCCATGGCTGGAATGTGATTTTAGGAGAGGCCATTGCTGTGGGACTTGCAGGCAAAAGGTAAGCTGGTGGCTGCCAGCATGGATTGCCACAGGAGGAACTTGATGTGTTAAAGATGAAGACTAGACAATGAGGAAACTATTCAATCAGAGAAACACCATAGCTATGGAGAGCTGCTTCTCAGTGATGCAGTTGAAATGGTGGATTGAAACAGAGCAGGCCATTGTCTGTATAATCATCTAGGATTCTATGATTCATCATAGGATTCTATGATTCTATGATCTACTCAGGATACTTCTCACAACTCGACTCCCACTCTGCATAGTGTAATTTTTAAACCCTTTCTGCTCTAAAGGAATAGAACATAGGAATGCTCACTGAATGTGTATGTTCACTATTTTTTGAAAATAGCAACTATTGTTTTAAGTTCTGTTTTGCTTAATTATTCATTATTTACTACATGAATTATGTATGAAAAACTTCAAGTAGTTTGAAATTTACTTTAGGCAATGCAGACTCTAAGGCATGCTAAGAAAGTTATATAGTAAGGTGTCTGTTCCTTCCATTAGTCATAAGAGAAACATAAATTACAACTCAGCATATGATTCTATGCTTCCTCATACAATGATTTAAAGTCAATTGAGTACAATTACTTCATACTCGAGCATATTTTCTGCTGTATAAAACTTTCTTGCTCCCATAAAGAAAATGCACCCAAGCACTTTTCTGAACAACAGTATTGTTAATTTAGATATTTTTTTAATGAAGCTTTTTTTAAAAAAAACATGTTTTACCTTTTGATTGTTTACAAATTACTTTAGTAGTGATTGGGGAAAGCACTTAATATGTGGTAATGTTCTTTCTAGAACAGGGACTTTGCCTTAGTGCTTTTCTGAGCAGAATCTTGTTCTGTTTATCTGTCAATTTATCTGAATCTAAAGTAGACAAGCTAATAATTGTGCATGTTTTAAGAAAAATCAGTTAACTTCACACAAAAAGAATTATCACAGTAAGAATTATCGTAGGGAACGCAAGCAGCCTACACTCCAGAGTTTACTATCAGTATGTCGTGATTTATCAAAACAGTGCTCTTTTCCCTGTTTTGAGTAAACTGCAGTGAAAATCTATATCCTCAAACCAGGAACAGACAACAGCAAAAGACATTATTTTTTTACAGGCCACCACTTAAATACCCATCACAAGCTGTGTTCACACAGCTGTTAGCCAGTTTAAAAACAAACAATATCTCTGGTGACATCCACCTGGTATGCTTGGTGACTTGCACTTAGTACCATGTACAAAAACATCTAAAATAAGTATCCATAGGAGTAGTTTCCGGCACTATGTTTTTATCCTTTAATGACAAAGGAAAAGAGTTCACAACACAATACATAGCCGAAGAGCTTAAGTCAATTTTCAGTGTTAAGATGTGTATCATTATGCATCTTATATAGCTAGCTCTTCTGTTACTATCATCACATGAATGGTGAGTGAGTAGTTTTCATCCTTTTTCTAATCCATTTTCATTAATATTATTAGTATTACCATAATTGCCATTATCATCATCATCATCACAGCAAGCTGTTAATTTTTCTATGCCCAAAGGCAAACAAGTCATTACTTCCTCATCAACAAAACCACTTGTCCCAAAAAACAGGTAAGTTGCTTTTTGGTAGGCTGATCAGTGTAAGAACACAGAGCCTTCCTATAAATGGAACATAACTGGATCGTCTTGAAAAGTAGCACTTCTACTAAATACTTACATATTATGAAAGCTCTTCTACCCAAAATGGTAGCTTTGCCAGTTTGGTTCTATTTTACATTAAACACTTCAGCTACAGTTTCAATGTCACTGCACAGTAGGTAAAAAACATTTCTGAAACCAATGTCAGCAAGGGATAATTTTGCAATAAACTTCTCATCTACAGTAACACAAGCCAGAAGATAACACTGCTATACAGATTGCTTTGTTGGTAACCTACGATGCTTCTTCCTGGCATAGTAAGTATTTATAAAGATGGAAGATGAAAAAGTTGCAGAAATAAACAACAATGTAGTGCTCTTAGTTTCTCATGTTTCTCATAGTGACCTTGGATATGAATCTGAGCTGAAATGGGGGGAAGAAAGAGCTCAAACACAACAATGCAAAGTAGACAACAAAAAGAACCCAAAAATCTATTAAGATACCTCACCTAAGGAAATGACTCATACAGATGTTGAAATATTCTGCGTTGAAGCATGTTGTATTAGTACTATGAAACATGGATACTAAAGAAAGTGAGTTCCCTTTCATTTCACCTTTGAATTTTGAAATTGTAATGGATGACCTGTGGTGTTTTACTCTTTCAAAATGGAAAACGTAATGAAAGATTTGGAAAAGCACCAGACACAGACTCCAGGTCCGATGAACCACTGATACCAAGTTAAAGCTTGCACTTACTTGTAAACAGGAAGGTATAGTTTTATGCCTCATATAATGGGGTCAAGGGCCAACTGCCAAAAGCATTTGATGCTCTCATCAGCAGAAGCTGAAAGTCCTCACCAGGAGCACTTAAAATCATTTAACATTCTGCAAAATATCCTAACTTTCTGACCCAGATGGCCAAGAAACAAAATTATCCCCCTAAGAAGTGCATAGATGACAGGGGCACAGCAACAGACATGCAGTGCTGGGACTTACCATCTTGGTCTGTGGTAACTGTGATAGCTGTGAACTGCTTGGGAGAGAAACTCAGCTCTGAGACCCCATTTGTGGCTTCTATTTCGAAGGTGTAGTTCACGTGAGACACAAAGTCAAGCACCGTCACAGAGGAGTTGGTGAGACCTGTGTGCCTGGGGATGAAACGGATACCTCCCCCACAAATCTCACATTGGTTGGCATCCGACCCACATTTCTTACAGATGACACTGTAAGTGAGATCTTTTCTTCCTCCGGTATCACTTGGGGGGCTCCATTCCAACATGAGAGCTGTTTCATTAATGTTAAAAATCACATTCCTTGGAGCAGAAGGTGGCCCTGCAGTGAAGGAGGGGAAAGCCCGTTAAATGTTAGCTGTCTATTCTGGAGAAAAAAGAGATAATGAAAATCAAATTATTTGTCTTAAGGCGATTATTTGCAAATAGAAGCTAAAAGTGTTATGTTTCAAAAACAAATACAAGGCAAAAATTACTAATTATCTAAATACTTACAATCCTTGAAAATTAAGCAGGAACGATAAATGAGTGATACTATAAAAAGCTGAATAATCTAAATAAATTAGAATTAATTCAGAAATAATTTAAGGCAACATAAAAATGACCTGGGAATGTCAAACCTAGACTCGATAACACAAATTTGTACCAAGTATCTCTTGATCCTGTGGGATACTCAGGTAGGGCTTTAACCATGAAATTAATTTCCTTAATTTTTTTCTAGTAATTTAGGCTTTTCTGATACTTATAATGTGTTTTATGAGTCAAATTGAATAATAAATAACTAACAGCTTGGGAATAACCGCATGAGGTAAAGTTGTTTGTATTAGATCTGCAGTGCCAGGTATTTTTTCTATCCTTTACTGCTTATCCCCAGGGATTTCTTTGTTGCTGTTCATTAACAGAGTTAGGTGGCAACAGGCCAAGACTATTAGGCACAAGAGGCAGTTTACAAGTTTTTTCTTTCTCACCTGGCATCTCATCAGCATCACTGTAACAGTGGAGACATCAACCTTGCAAGTTAAAGGTCTAAAAGGACAGCAGTAAACCAGAAGAAAAAATAATTCTTGAACATTGTGGGGAGGGATGCAAAGACAGTAGCAGGAAGCAGAGAACAGGAACGCTCTCAGCTAGCAAGCAGGTGGTAAAGCTCTTTGGGTACTGTCAGTTGAATGACAAGTGACTCATTTCTCATGGATCCCACAATGGCCAAGTTATGTCCAACAACTTTTAAGCTGTTATGCTGATTTACTGTATCAAACCACATGTGAGGCTTTACATACCAGTTTCTACAGTCTGATGGAAGAACTTTATGATTTTTCAGACAGGAACTAATGCAGGGGTGAAGGTAAGGTAGAAATTGTTAAAGGAAGTCTGAGTAATCTTATATCTATTTTACTATATTCTCCTTCTTCCACTTAACATATTTCAACCAAGCACTTACAGACACATGGGTTACAAAAATAATTTGTATATAGTCCCAAAATATGCCCATAAAAATTAGAGAAGAAATACAGATTTTGCAAAATGCAAGGGTTTATACTCCAGAAACTCCAGGGTTTTTTTTTAAATAAGTGAGTTGAATAAACATTATATTCCCAATTCTCAATATAAAATCACAGTGAATATGGATTGCTTAGCCAGTGGTTAGCAGAACTTTGAGAACTTTCAGCTTCCTTTGAAGCTTTTCATGATTTATACAACCTGCCAGCAAGACTTAAGCATAATTTTTTGATTGAGATACTGCTCAGGCTCAGTGAGTTTTCATTACTTCATGGTCTCTTAAGGAGACTGAAAAACTACGTGAAACCGGCATCAGCTGGTTTTTACACAGAGCGTATTTCACCCAACAAGTTCAGTGGGACAGTAAATCTGAGTCAGATAATTAAAATATCATAATGTCTGTAATAAAAAAATTAAGACAATGAGAGAAGAACTAAAAATAACGACCAAAACCCTCAAAATATTGATCAATACTTTTGTAAATTCCAGCTCTACAACTTGTAGCATGAGGGCAAGACCATGACCCCAAAGGACAGTCAGATAAAGGGTCAGCACTTTGCATTAGGAAGGAGATCAAAGCTTGTCCTAGCATTTAATACATAAATCATGATTTAAAATCTCAGGAAAACCTTCAGTCATTCAATTCCATTATTTCCTTCAGATCTACAGTTACTACAGCACTGATCTGCTGATTTTATTTTCAAACTCTGAGTTATTTATTTGACCAAATAAAATGTAGCGATTTAAAAATTCAAGCCCATGAGTGATTCAGAAATATGCACCAACAACTGATACACATCCGTTTATTCAACTTCTTGATTCTTGAAGATTACCCTGAATACTAAAACAGACTATACTTTGACAGAAAACATTCCTCTACTTTGTGTTTTACTGATAAACTAATAGGTCTAATGATCTAAACAGCTGTATATAGCAGCAAGGATGAATACTAACCTTAATGAAGAGGCAATAAAAGTTGCAGAAAAAAGCCATTATTCACCAACATTTGTAAAATTTAAATGATGCTATTTGTTTACTTATGTGGCATAAATGTGGGTATAAAAGCTGGAATGCTTGTTAAGGGGAAAAAAGTTTGTATGATATGGGAGGGATAATAACATTAAAGTTTTCTGTGAACTGTAGTTGAACATTTGAGTTGCTTTTTTCTTCCAGGTATTTATTTGTAACTGAGACTTTATTTTCATTAAAATTATTTTTGCCCTAAAGCAAATGGTGCATTTGCTGCTGGATTTCAAGTATTTGATAATTAAAACATTTGGGCGTGCTACACTGCTCTGCATTTTCTTAGAGTACAAGGAAGTTTAAAATATTTTGAACATGTGAGTATTTCTTTGCATATTTATCTGTGCAGAGTTCATAGCTGGCAGCCAAAAAGCCCCTGACAGTAAAGACCATTCATTTTTCAGCTTATCAAATAATAATTTAGCTGAAAGGTATATGGTTCTTTTTACTGACAATTGTGATTTCTGGAACCTGTCATACGAAAATTATATTTGTAATTTGCAATTTTTATGGTCACAAAAAATGTTTTGATTATTTCTTTCCTATTCTCTGACTGTGGCCTTGTGATAATCCTAACACTGGAGCAATTGAAATACTGTAATGTGTAAGTATTTATAAATTGAACTTGTTAATAAAGGCTCATTATATTGATACATCATTTTCCAATAGTGTGGAAAACAGAGACCAGTACACCCTTGAAGATGCTGATTCAGTCCAAAGGCCCCTACAACTTTAGAGTGTCCCAGATTTAAAAATCTCTGAACTTCCCATTAAATTAGTGAGGTTGATGGTTCTAGCTACTCTGGAAAACAGTCCTGAGACTGGAATAATCTAAAACAAGCACAGATTACTTCATCTTCAGTTCTTATTACTTACATGCTGAAGACAGGAATAATTATCTTTTCTCTAAAAATATGCTGTGAGAATTAAATAATGACTAGTCTTAACAAATTCCCACTGTTAAAAGCAATGAGGAGTTTTAGGAATATGGAGGATGAGGCTTAATCACACATATATGTGCATAACTTTAAGTGGATCAGTAATCCCCTTGAAATAATTGGTAATATTCATGCACTTAAAACTAAGCATGTGTGTAATTGCTCAAAGCATTGGAGCCAATGCCTAAATTTAATCTTACATAAATTTAATCTTACATAAACTATAGATATAACATTGCGTCATCATGGCTCAGGAGTTTTTTTTATGTTATTTCATCAACTTTGGCAGGCCACAATAGGAATGAATGTGAATCTAGGCAACAGGAGAGTTTTATCTGGCTCTGTCAATATCCATTTTCTATCGGATATTTCTTGTACTACAGGTAGATAGCATCATTAGAAGAGCCAATACAGTAGACAAAACATGCTTTTTAAAAAATGTATTTTTTATTCGTACTAGGCTGTGAAGGTTGTTATATTCATTATTGGGGACTTAATCCTCAATTGTAAGACAGAACATGAATTATTTTACATTCACATTTCAATCAATGCAGAGAACACTGTCAATTATGACAGTGGTGTCTGAAAGTATATGACTGTCTGCCTGCAAATGCTGAAAAACCCCTCAGACATACTTCATACTTGAGGCCCCTCATGCCGATTTGCATGATAGCTTTTTAATTGCTGTTAAATTATGCCAGTTAAACTGTGATTTCATGCAAATATTAAGCTGTAATGACATGCAGTGAATCATTTACTAAGATTTAGAACTTGGAACAAAGAGAGACAATTAATTCTAATCCTTAGATTCAGCTAAATTATGTGTCAATGGGCTTTTATGAATGTGGCCTGATTGCTTTGTTATAATTTATAAATTATACAAAGATTATTTGACTCATTGGAAAAGGTTGGAAGCAATAACCTTTCTGCTGACATCTGTGTGAAAGGCTACCAGGGATTTCCTTATAATGATTTTCAAGGAAAATTAGTATATTGGTGAAAATGATGGATCCTTTCCTCACAGCAAAATTCATGACTTTCAGTTTTATGAAAAGAGTAAAACACAATTCACATTAATGAGCATTAAAAAAAATAATTCAGCTCTTCTGCTTCTTAGATGAAACACAAACCAAGTGTGACCAATGTCTTTTGCTTCATTTATTAATTATAATGTAAGAAATATTTCTGCACTCTTGATGCAGTTGATTTGCATTGACATCTTCCAAAGGCAACCGAGTTGAGTTTATGCCTCACACAGTTCTTTTCATCTCATCTTGCTTTTTGTATTCTCTCCCTCTGTGAAGGTGAAGTGCATTTTGCCCTTTAAGGAAGGAGAAAGGAGCAAACCCGACACTGCTGAAGTCTAGTGAGGGCAATGCAGTATTTCAAACACTACAGAGTGATGACTGTCTGGAAATAATTTGTTGCTTTCTAAGTGAGAACGGTCTGTTACCAACTATTGAACTCTAAGAAGTGTGTGTTATTTGACTGCTGAATTTACAGAAAGGAAAAGATTAACCATCATCTTCTGAAAACACTCAGAATCAGCATCTGGCTGTTCTCCTTGAGTTCATAATTACTTTTTAATACACATACATCCATGTAGCCCACATAAGTAGTGTGACTTGATGCAAAATGCTGCATTGCATTTTTTCCTTTTCAGACTCACTTATTCCTCTGTAAGGCAGGCAGGACAAACGGAAGCAAGTGACTGCAAACCAATAATTCAAATCTGAGCGTAATGATAAATTACAAACAAGTATATACTTAAGAATAACAATACAGGCAGTGGACTTGAAGGCTTGAAGCATGTTGGTTGATTTCACTGCTGGAATTACAGTGCTGACTCATAAAAGAGTGGTTCAGTTTGTGGCAGAGGTTACTGAACAGAGTGTAAGTTTGTTGGGTTCAAAATTGTTTAAGCATAACAAGAAAAGAAATGCATTCAGACCCAATATAAGCCTGCCTGCCTTTGGCCTTGAAAATATGGATCGATTTATCCAATTACATTATAGTAGGAAATATCAGAGTTTATGTACAGGGTAACCAGACAGGGGATTAGATATTATGCTATTTGTTGCTCACTGTATATGCAGAGAGATCACTGATAGAGTTCTCTCATAGAGCAAAGAAATAAAATATGAAGAAAGAGTAGCAGCAGGGGATTGATAACAAGTGCCAATCAACTGGAAAAAAAGGCTAGGGGAAAGAGATTAACAATATATCTTAATGCAATTTTCTTTGCTTTCATTAAAATTAGAATTCTATTATGCTCTTCTGCAGACTGCACACTCTTCTTTTACAAAACACAGTTACATGACGTAAAAATGAGAACTGTGCAATTTTGGAACAGCATACAGTATGCACTTTGACAGAATTAATGAATGTAGGTTTGAAGCTCATCTTGAAAAAAATGGAGGCCTGAAGGTAAACTCTTAAATTCATAGTGTCTTAATTCAAGGTCCGTATTTTCTGTAACGCTGCATATGCAAGTTTCAAGTACTGAGGGAAAATTCTGGAGTCAAGAATACTGTCTACCTCTATCCAGGAATGAAAAGAGAGTGAGAGAATCAAATATCTACCTATTTTAGGCATATTGCTTTGCCAGACTTGGGGAAGCAACTAAAATAGGTATGAATACAGTTGGTTCAGCTTTTTTGAATACGAAGACATTTATAAGGGTAATCTGCTATTCATTCCATGTTTGATTCAAGAATAACTCTCATTTTAAAAGTCAGAAGAAAATTTTCTCATCTCTTATATCACAGCTCACATCTCAGGACACACATTTGAAAATGAATATAGAAAATGCACATCTGCTCCAGAAGTGGTTTTTTAGAAATACATTTTCTTACTGCACAGTCTTTGCTCTCTATTTAGTCAAACTGGTTCTATTTTTTCCTAACTTTTCAACTCCTCTTATTACAGTAAAGCATTGCAGTTTGGAAGGAACAATCTAAGTTCTACTCTGCCTCATATTTTCACTTTTATTTATTACATTTAAATTAGCCACATCTTCATAGACCCACCGAAGGCAATGTGGTTGGTATTTATGATGGAAACATAATTTCAGTAACTAAGAGCATAAATTTTGCAGTGGAACTTAAGATATCACTTAGGGAATAATTCGGCCTACAGACTCTTCATTACCAATAACGTGCAAGAAGATAAGAAAGCAGTCTGCCTATCAAGAGTCTTATTGTCTTTTGCAGAGTGGACAATCAGTGAAATAATCATCATTGGAAGCATAAGATAGATGCAGCTGCTGTTACAGCAATGCAGTACTGATATCTTGGAGTCTAGACTGAAAGAGAGGCAGTGCATGGTGGCACTGAAGTAAGAGCAAGGCAGAAACTAGAATGTGTTTCACTGTCTCACTTAATTCTTTTTTATCCCAAGCTGCGGTGAAGGTGGGCCACTGGCTCCTATCATCTTGGTTGATTTCTTCCCTGACTCCACTCACTAGTTGCTTTGGCTGACATCCTTAGCAAGAACGGAGAGGTCTGACAGCAAGTCTTCCCTAACAGTTTTTGGCCAAAGCTGCTCTCACCACCCCACTTTTGTTGGGAAAGTACCAGGATGTTGTAGGTACCTGCTCCCTGATGCCACAGGGCTAGCAAGGTCCTCCCTAGCTTGTCAATGCTAATGAGTAGCAGAGTTTAAAATTGTGCTCTGAAATATAATTATGGAAACATCAGGTGATACCTGAGTAATTTTTTCAGAGAACTGTCCTTGGGAGATGAAAAATCAATTACTTATAAATAATACGGAACTACAGCTACATAATATATGAGTGAAACTATCTTTCTAACCATGAAACCATCAAGAGTGCCTGGGATTTGTGTTAGTTCTGTGGGAGAGTTGCAATGGCCTGTGCTTGAGGCACTCATTTGAGGGGAATTATTTGTAATCACTATTTTCCCACAGGAAGTGTGAAAAAGCATTGTTTATTGCCTTCCATATTTTGTACAGATAGATAGGCCTCTGTGCCTTGCTCCAGAGTAAGCCGACATCAGATTGTTTGTGTTGGATTGGGGTACCACTCTGAACCCTATGTCCACTAAGTAGCTGGAGTCTGGGAATTACCCTTCCCCTCTGAAAAATCTATAGTTAAATTAGAAAACTTTCTGCTAAATACCTTGGATCTGAGGAATGCCATTTTTGGTGACTATCACTCCCATTTAGTGGATGGTCAATATCTTGGTCTGCATAATGACTTCAGGATAACAGAGTGCCTGTGACTTTGTAAATCAGCTCCAAATTACCTTTTTTTTTTGTTCAATTCCTCTAGTGTCAGCTCAGTTATTTTTATGCGGTACTGCCTTGTAGTAGTGTAAACATACCAAAATTATCGTAGAATCACAGAATTATAGAATGGTTAAGGTTGGAAGGGACCTTAAAGATCATCAGGTTCCAACCCCCTGCTAGGAGCATGGACACCTCACACTAAACCAGGCTGCAGAAAGCCTCATACATCCTGGCCTTGAACACCTCCAGGGAGGTAACTGACTATACACTGATGGTTATTTCAATAGTACTTTGTTTTTATGGTTTTATCACTTAAGCTTTTTGTATATGTAGCTTGTTAAAATGCTTAATGCTTTGAACGTGTCAAGTTTTTTTTATAATTCTCTTAAGAAGAGGATTGTCGCACAAATCTGCTTTAATCAAATACTCCAAGAGAAGAGCTAGCAAAATGCTACACAGAAAATTAGCTATCTTAGAAAATGTTGAAAATGTATTTTAATAATCTTTAAGAAATCATAGGATTTAATATGTGAATATAGTATTTCACCCACAGATTTTTAAATGCTACTGTTTGTTCTCAGTTTTGAGATTAAACAGATAAAGTTGCTTTATGATCAATACATTAATTCCAGTGAGTAATGAACCACATATGAAAATCTATGAGAACTATTTTATTGAGTGAAAATAAAATTTATTATTTAGGTTTCTACATGTGACCACATTGATCAAAATAATACAAATCTCTCTCAGTTAGAATTTCCACCTCTAGATTGCAGGGCATCAGTTTTGTCTTTATGACAAATTTAGGTTTGTCAAAAATCACAAAATGTTGCATTTTAAAAATTATTTAAAAATCAGAAGAATTTTTAGTATCACTGTCATATAAGCGGGAATGGAAAGAAAATTATATGCAAGATATCTCCTTCTGATTGGATTTTTTTTCCCTTTTTTAATGACTTCTTAATCTTTTTTACAGAGTTTAGGTTTTATTCAATTGTGTTGGTATGATACCAGTTTCTTTCTTTATGTGACTCCTCACATTCTGGAAAGTTTTTATAGAAACATATTTTAATGTATTTAAAATACTTACTGGTAGTTAAAACTCAACATGGGTATCTAAATGACAATGATTATATACCTTGCATTATCTCTCAGAACTACAAGTTAAAAAGTCGCCATGCTAAGAAACATGTCAGTATTTTTAGCGATAATTATACCAAGTAGAAACATGCTGTTTAAATTTTGATTTTAAAAAATTGCTTTTTGTTATCCTGAATAGAACTCTTTGCAAAAAAATTTACAAACTCATCTGTTTTATTTTTTTAAATATAAAAATAAATAAATGAGGCATAGGAGAAGAGAACTGCGGACACTGGTAGTGATCAGACTTACGGGTACATGCCATAGTTGGTGGGTCCTTCTCAGCTCTGAAGTAACCTTTCTCACATTGACAGACAGAGGTTGCTTCTGTGTAAGTCAAGCTGTGTGGGGGGCACTTGGAGCACTTTACATTTCCAGCAAATGCTTTATAGAATCCAGGCCTGCAAGCTGCAAAACAAGAAAAAAAGTTTCATTAACAGAAACAAGAGTTGGTAATAAGGAACATCTGTTCCATTTATGGTTATAACGCACCTTCTTTCCTTTCTAACTGAAATATGTATGCTATTTTGACAATACAATTTTTCACAGTTTTTAGATTGGTACATGGATTAAAGACCAATAAAAATAAATCTGTTTGTGGCAGATGATGAGAAATCATTAAAAGAGTAACCTTCCAAATTTACACAGTTCTCAGTGCTGCTTGAAATTGTTGCCGAGACAACTACACAAATATCACTTAACAAAAAGCACATTATCACATTATCTATTTTTTATGTATCTATGTTAGTAAGAAAGACTAAGAGGTAACTTATCCACTAAAGTTATTTATATGGCTTAAGTAATGGAGATTTGCAGTGCTCAATATGTTTACTTCCAGTGCCTTGATGACACAAGGATGACATCCTTCTATATTTATAGATGGGCTTGACTTGCCTCCAGTCCCCTGAGAAGCCTCGGACAGAAGGACCACATCAGCTGGCTCTTCTGCATTCTGTTGGCATGAAAGGCTGGGAGGTGCTGTACACCTCAGAGATGTATGAAGATGCCAATATCCTCTAGCACAAACTATTGCAAGCTTGAGGCTACTCTTTATTGTGTCAGGAAACAACCTGGAGAGCAGGATACCTTCTCCCCTGGAGATAGGTGATTTAGTGGTTGTCAGAGCACACTACATCTCCAGTTACTTGGAACATGAGTCCCTGCTATTTGTAACCAGAGCACAACCTTAAGTGTCTTTTTGCTGGCCTTTAAAACAGAAATATTAAAACAAATCTTATCATAAATCTGCTAGGTTTGAATTATGAAATTTTATTTTAGAAACATATTTAGACTTCATCACACTTGTATAAGCAGGGATTTCTTTCTTTCTTTCTCCTGCCAGTTACCACATTTACATACACATGCCGGCACATATTACAGTTACTGTCTTCTGGCTTCCCAATCCAAAACCAGAACTGAAATAAATGAAAGAGCAACTCAAATAGGTATAGACTGTACAGACTCTTATTCCTTCTGACTCCTCCAGCATTATGATGGAAACCATTGCTATATATATAATTTCAAAGACTGATGTGGCTTTTTCTTATTTTGACATATTCAAAACTATTCTCTACATTGCTAGAGAAACTAGGCAGTACTTCCTTCTCTTGTAATAAGATGATATAACAATATTAAAATGAGATGTTCTTTAAAAATTACCCAAAAGAATGCAATTTATGGATTCAGTCAGTTCCTATTGATTTATTAAAAAGTATTAACTTCTAGATAACATATGCACATATCAGTTTTACTTCTGATTCCAAAGGACTTGCTTGATATAAAAGCAGTTTCATTAGTAGCTGAGGGAAAATGAATGAGGAGATGGAAAAAGATAACAGTTGATTGCCTACTGGAATCCAAGAGTCCATTTTTTAAAGGTAATTTTACGAGCTTAACTTTGACCCAACAGTTTCAGCAGTTCTCTTCCTAGTGTGTTGTTCTGCCTTGGCTGAATAGACATTAGGAAAGAATCCTGCCCAGCTGTCAAGGACAAGAAAAAAAAAAAAGGCAAGCATTTCTGGTGTTAAGAGATAAGAGGGGTGGGAACAGCAGGGGTTTTCTCTTTGAAAGAAGTCTACCCGTCTGATACAATTCTGATTACAGTAAGTGGTAATCTTCTATTGATTGGAAAAATCAGCAGGTTTGGTGCATGGAAGAAGGCAGCATTGTAGATGTAGGCTGCAGGCAGTGACTCCTCTCTTAGCTTTGCTGGAAGAAAGGCAGAGAGGAGGTAAGGCAGTATCAGGGAAGGGTGTTATGCTTACTTTTCTTCTTTTCTCATGCCCAAATCCTACCCTGGCTTATCAAAGGATGAGTATTAAATTCTTGTTTTTTAATAGCTACCTTTCACACACATGGTACAACCCAAAGAAGTTTGTGATTAAAGAGTTGGCAATTCCAGTTACAATTTCAGTCAAAGTTAAATGAGTGCTCCTAAAAATCGCTATCACTTCTGAAATTCATGGCTGACAGTTATGAAATCGTTCCTTCTTCCCTTCTGTCTCCTAAATGACAAACCACTTCAGATCAAAAGAAATACAGCATTCTCTTTCAAGATAATATTTTGCTTAAAGTTCAAGCAGCTCACTGTTCCAAAATTATACTTCACTTCCAATTTTAAAAAGTAAATGTTTTATTCTCAAATTGTATGCTGCAATGCGTTTAAATAAATTACTGCTTTGATATGGTATGTCTCTTAAAAGAAAGCACATATAATATCATGGAAAAGATGGGGGGAAAATTCAGATTTATGCATAACATTTTGTAATATTGGAGTTTGTACATGTGCTAGCATGAGATTGCAGACTGTGCTACTGTCTAAATCCCTGTGTGTGACTGCAGGTTGTGATATCAAACCATAAACAAGCACTAGGTATTGTATTCCACTTTAGAGTCCTGAATTCATGAATTCACACATTATCTACAATAAGAATTAGGATATGACTCTGTAAAGGCATTAAACAATGGGCTGACTTATACAATGTTAACCAAGTTCCTCAGATTTTGCCCAGCTTCCTATTATTTCTATTGTTTATTCTCCTGGGGCAGTTTCAGCCAAACAAAATTACGGAGTGCACAAACTGCCTGATAGACAAATCAGAAACTAAAAAAAATTTAATTATAAATAGGCTGTGGTTTTGTATTTGGAGAGGGAAAAAAAACCCATCTTTCCTATGTAAAATAATATACTAGGTGTGCATCTATTATAAATAAGTTAAAAGTTTGCTCCAGATCTTTATATGTGTAGAAAGTTTCATTTGTATGTGTTTGTAAACGAGTATTTTCAAGGTGTTCCTCACAGCATTTTATAAACAGCAAATAGTTATTTAATCTACAATTTTCACAAATGAGTTGTGCATATGTTAATGTAAACTAAAATTTGAAATTTGAAAACCTGCTGTCATAAAAAGCTGCTAAGGATAACTATTAAAAAAACCCTTTGTAAAAAAATCTTTGTTACCACAGAGTGTTTTTTTCTAACTTCCAAATCACTGGGAGGCATCTTATTTTCCCTAACCTTATCTAACAGAATGACTTTGTAAGTTACTAATTACACAAACTGTATGAGATGAGACTTTTTTAAAGCCTGGGGGAAGAGAATATATTGTCTTAATGATTAAGTAATTAGCAGGGTATCTGAATGAACAATTCAAAGACACTAAAGTTTTCTCCAATAAAATGCCAGAGATCATGCAGAGAAACACTGTTAATTTAATTGGTTTCATAAAAGATAACACATCTATAAATGTGCATTACTACAGCTTTATCAGGATTTGACTACGAAGTTTTTAAACTATAGATACTTAATAATTAATATATTTTCCTTATTTAATGTTTAACATAGGACATTTAGTTTTGTTTGTATTATACATAGATGCAAAGATAGATTAATGCTACGCAAGGCTCTGGTGAACTCTTAAAGAAAATGATTCATGGCTTGCTAGACTCCCAGCCAGGGCACAGGGTGGGAGAAGGCATTTATCAAGCAGCTGCAAAATGGTTTAGCACGGTCCACGTGATTTTCAGAGGTATTGAAACAGGCTGGAAAAACCTTAGAGGTGTTACTGCCTAACATGAGATACAATCATAGCTTTTCTGAACAGGACGGTAGGTGTGTAGCCCACCTGTGCACTGACATCCCAGCTCAGTCCTCCATCAAAGGCCCAAGGGACAGGCCCTCCCTGCACATCCCTGGGAAGCCCTCAACACGACTGGCCCCTGTGCCTCAACAACCTAAAACAATAGCTGAATCTATGTTATAGCAAGCAGAGAGAAAGCCATACTTCACTAAGATCCATCTGGGAAACCGGACGCATTTCCAAATCCAGGGGAAGGCAGCCAAAGGCTGACCTGTGTGCAGGCCTGTGGCATTATTCAGGCAGTGAGGAGTGAAGGGCTTCATCTCATTCTGGATGGGCCAGTATTTTTAAGGAACTTTTGAATTGCCCAGTCCATTAAGTACAGTCATGGGTCAATTACTACATCATGCTCTCTTGCCTAAGAGTCTGTACTACTTAAGTCTGTTAACAGCCATCAAGTCCTTCCACAGCCTAGGGGGTGCATGATGTATAGACACAAAATCCAGAAAATGCAAATGGTGGTCATAAACCTTGTTGCTTTAAAAAAAACCCAGATGTTTACTCTGCTCTGTGGGAACATGTCGTTGTGAAAGAAAGAAGCTTGTTCTAGAGTTCATTTTTCTCAGTTTTACATGTGAATTGACTGTTACAAAGTTAGTTTAAGTAAGGGGAATCCAAGGGAATCTTAGAAGCAACTTTTAGGCACATCTGACACTTGGTCTGTGTGTGGGAAGACATTTCTCATGAAAATTGGATTTTTACAGCTTGTTGAGAACTCATCAATCAAATTAAAACAGAGAAGACTGTTGTCATTTACAATGAATGGCAATCATCAGTAGCTGTGGAAGAGGTGTTTTAATCTTTCTGAAATAGAAAATTTGCTATGCTTTTCCACCTCATACATTTTTTTAAATTGCTTACTGACACCCGCTAATGCATTATGAGACTGACATCTTTCATATTTGTTATATTCTGTCGATATATAATTATTCCAATTTTAAAGTCTTCTTACTCCTCTGATATATGATCACTTTACAAAAAGGACAATCCTATAAGGCCTGTTCTGTTCTACCACTCGGCAGAAACAAGGACCTATAATGTTACTTTAACCAATTTATATTTTAGTAAAAATGTCTAGGAAAGAACAAAGAAGTATATAGAAAAAAGTAAGAGAAAATAATGTAACAAAATATGTACATTGTATATTACAAAAGGCAGACTAGGATCACAAAGTCAAGATTAGGATATGACATAATTAGGACAATGAAGCTGTGTGGACATCTGTTGATTGTGAGTACAATCTGATTAAGTAATCTCACCTCTTTTCTT